TTTTTTTTTTTTTTTTTTTTTTAAATTTGTTTGTCGGGCATGGATTAGAAAGGCACCGATTAGATTAGTTAATGCAAGCCAAACCAAAAACATTGGAATCTCAAAAGGTGAAATCGAAGCTGAAGAAGCCGTTGCTTTGCTCTGTTCTGTTCGAAATGCGCGTCTCAAAAATGGCCGGCGGCGGCCATGGACTCAGATGATTCCCTTTGCAATCCTTTCGCTTTTATTGCCTTCTGCCATCTTCAACCACCGTATGTTGACTTTTGAATAAAAAAAATATGCAAATATAAACGATTTAATCATCTCGAGTGGGTAATTAGTGTCTTATTTACATAATTATGCTCGGAATAACTTTCATATTGTTGTCTTTAACGAACTTAAATTAGAGGCATCCATGGGATGGGAATCATAATTTCGTGACGACCCTGCTTCCCTATTTCAATTCTCATATCTACAAAATAATAATAATAAAAAAAAAATATAAAAAAATAATTTAGGATATTCGATTTGAATTATCCAGAGATGTGGACAATCAAACCTATTTGTCGATTCAATAGAAGCCCGCGGGAGAGATTAAAAAACAGGTCCGTAAGCCTATTCCTAATCCTAAATGAGATGTAAGGACGGGATCCATTTGTAAACATAGTATCTATTTATGTATATTTCCCTGCTTAAACAAAAAATTTCTCACGAATCCACAAATTAAATGTACATCTCGAACTCAAACTTTGATGTAATTTTTACCCTTCTTAACCCGATCTAATAATATATGAAAGATCCAAAGAGGTGGGCATTTTAGGAAATTGGAAAATACCCTACAAGTCTATGATCCAAATGTAGGAGAGGAATTTATTCTAAAAGTTGAAGATCTTATTATTAACCGTAATGAATAATAATAATAATAATATCAGATGCGAGTAACAAAATATTAACAGCTGACCCTTTCAAAAAGAATCAGCTCTCTAAGCATTTCCTAAGTACTATTTACTCACCTCTGAGCTCAGTATACATTTTCATTATCAAATATTTACCTTTTTTTACCTTTCTCTTCTCCAACTACCATTACTCACTACATTTCTACCTTGTCTGCTACGGTCAGAATGCAACCAAACACCATCTTTACCCTCCATCAAATGCACACTTTCTTCCCTACAGTTAGATTCTTTCCTACTCGAGAGATTGGGACGAGGTTTCTCTGTTGTTTTAGGACCAACTGGTGAGCATCGGCTCGAATGAGCTGGATGCAAAAGTGGGGAGGACGAAGACGAGGATGGTAACGATGCGTCTATATCAGAAGCATTATGAAAACCGTTCCAACTGCATCCAGAATCGCTGTAAATAAACTCTGGTAAGTCGTCAGTGTTCGTGGAGTCACTGCTGCTGTTAGTACTGCATGAAGTTTCATCAGAGTTACTGAGAAGAGAAGAACTCTCGCTCGATAAGTCCTCGTCCATGAGCTTCTGGAGCTGGTGGAATTTTCGATAAAACGAACTGATATTTGAAGGATCGTTTGATGTATTGATCTTGGTATGAAGGTTCTGGGAATCGGGGTATGTGGCGTTGGGACTTGATTTAGATGAGCTACTCCTCCCATTGATCCAAGATGGAATGCTTCCATCTTTGGAATCAGTCATAATTTTGCTTCTTATTAGCCTTGGGGCCCTAGGTGAGCATCTGCAAGGTTATCTGTCGTCAAATAATGAAGGATTCAAACAATAATTGCTCAAGAACAAATCGTTTTAGCCCCAAAGTGTACCTTGCATAAAAGAGCATGTATGCCCCTCTTGTTAGTACGTTTTCAAGATCCATAGCTGTTACCTACCCAAACATATAAAAACGAAAGTCACGTCTCTGAGAATAGCATCCATCCATGTAAAATGTAATTCGAACACGATAAAACTTCGCCTAAAAGCTGCTAGATGGATCAACTACTAATTACTAAAACAGAGCGTTGAACGAACGATGTTCGTCATTGAGAGAGAGACAGCATTTAATGTTCTTATGTTAAGAACGAGCAAAATAGCTCATGATTTTATTTTTGGTTTCATTCAAAAATCCTTATACTAATGGAGATCAACTCTTACTTAATACCCATATGATCTTCCCTTATCTTAGCCAATATGAGAGTCTAGTCGGACCCAGCAATCCTCTACTCGAACAAAGTACCATTGAATCTCCCCTCGAATAGTCAGTTACCCATCTTGCTCTTATCTAAACTGACCCTTCTTCTCTTCTTATGAGGCCCGCAACTCCCTTTATTTAGCAGCCAAAGATTCTATCTGCACCGCTAAGTTCGGGACATGGTTCTTATACCATTTGTTAAGGACAACAACCCTCTACATACCTCTATAGTGTTATGTATTATCCATTTTTGGCATAAACCATCGTGGTTTTGCTTTAGGTTTCACCCAAAAGGCTTCATACCAATAAAAATATTGTCTCTGGCCTACGTATTAATGAACTTTATTTGCACTCCCAACCTCTAAGAATGGTTAATGCTTCCATAGTAGCTGTAGTAAAAATAGAGCGGAACATTAAAAACGTGTAAATAAAGAAAAAAGTTAAAAGATTAACGAAGAAAACGACCTAGGATAGCCTTCATATCGAACAAAATATAGAGTGATAGAATTTGATAACATACCGCGCTATCATCAATCTTGAACCACTTGTTTTGATTATTCCTGATATAGCACACATAGTGACCAGAAAATGCGGCATTCATGACATCCAAATGAACAATCACTCCATAAAGCCTGTATACAGGTGACTTATCACTTCTGCTACTCATATAGGGGGCCAAATCTAGGATTTCCGAAAAAATAACCGGCTTATTCAGCTTCCCAAATTTGCCTGACTGAATTGGATAAACAAAATAAAGAACTTAGAAAAAGAAACGCTCAGCATTTTATCTAAATATGCAAATGATAAACATCAATTAGTTGAAGGGAAACCTGGAATCGTTTTAATGCTATGGTCAGGATGTTGGGAGCCTCCAATATTGATAGCCTTTTCTTCGCTTTCACGTAAGATTTGCATCTGAATGATTTCAGATCACAAATAAATATAATTAGGAAGGAGACGATAGGATGGAGCATATATAAAGAGAGAATCAATGTATTAACCTGCTACATTGGTATCTATTGTCCCCGTCTAAAACCTCAGGGTTTGTATATTGTTGAAGGGCCTCTTCGATTGTTTCAATATCCCCACTTATCTCAACAGTAAGATCTAAAATCCTTTCGATTCGTTCGGATTTGTTCTCACACCTTGTGCATTTGATCTGCAAGTGAGTATCAAATTGAAAGCAATGGTATGAGCACAACAAGATCAACTTGTAATGGTAGGTGTGTGCATTTGATCTGCAAGTGAGTATCAAATTGAAAGCAATGGTATAAGCACAACAAGATCAACTTGTAATGGTACTATTGGGGGTATATTAGCAATGGTAGTAAGGATACTAATGGAAATTAGCTAGAGAATCTTTGTTATAAACAGGAAAGGCTATTGATATTATACTTTCTTCATTGATATTGCAATATAGTAGTAATCTTTGCTGTTTTCTTATAATTTCTATAATTGGATACCTAACACAACTCTAAAGATTTATAGCGGTTCGCACGACAATTTTCTTGGGTTACGGATATGCTGAATATCCTTAACTGATAAGACACCGAACTACCTTTGATAGAAGATAGCCTCCAAATGTAAGGTCGATTAGAGTTGTTTCTTCTTCCACGGGGCCTGATCGACCTGCTTGAGCTTCCATAAAGCAAATAGATTGCATTGTGTCAATAGCACACCTGCCAAACTAACTCATTAATCTACTGGAAGAAATAAGATTGGAAACGAGCAAGATTTTTTTCGAAATAAGACCTCAAAAACTCGTGCGCATCCTCCTCTTTTCCGTTGACGAGTTGACTTCCAATTTTTTTCAGTTGAGAAATTATTCTGAGAGGAGATAGTGGAGATTTGCCTTCTTTTGCCTCAAGTATTAGACTTTCAAACTCACAGGTAAAACACCATCTCTCCTTGGCACCTAATATGCAAAAACAAAAGCAAAAACAATACGTTAAGCCATAGAAATTTAAAGCTATTGTTATAAAGTAGAACTTAATACAAAGAGATAAAATGTAGCATCCTGTATACATGCTTTAGAATGCAGCCCCTGAAGAAAATAGGCTGTCAAAGGAGGAGTGAATGTCAAACACTGGAGTACTACATTTGCATAACAGCTGCATAACGTAAGAATAAGAGTTACTTGTATTAAAAGCATTGAGATAAACTGCTCCACTAAAGAATAAAAAAAAATGTAATGACAAGACTAATTGTTTCATATAAAAAATCTATAAATTTCTGTAAAATTGCACATACATTTTGAATATTCAGCTTTAAGCAGCAGGGGCTAAATTAGACCGCTTAAATCTCTGTAATGAACGGAGAAGACGTAGAATACACCTCATACTTGCGACCTTACTATAATACTTTTCGATTTTTTTAAAAACAACATAGTAACTATAACAACCTGTTCCCGCAGTTGACAAGGCCAGATGGTTGGAGCTCCACTTTATTCCAATTATATAGGTTGATAAAAAGCTCATATGGAAAGTCTCCCTGTATAAAGACAACTTATTAATCAAATTGCCAACCAAACCAAATTACATTCGGACGAAATAAACAAGTAAACGACCTTGTTATTGTGTTTTCCAGTATTCCCATTGCCATTAGCTACATAACCACGAACCGAACGATCTGAATTAGATTTTCTAAGCTCATTGGGAGCAAAAGGTCTGAAGCCATAAACTGGCTTTGACAATAAGTTCACATCCAGAGAGGAAATGCCAGCACCAACTTGTATGGCACCAATTTTTCTAGAATGAATTGGAGGAACTGGGTCCCTTCCAATACTTGAAGGCAAATGAACACTTGAATCATCCACTAAATATCCATGGCCACAATGCTTTGAAATACTTGGTGCATCACCTGGCTCGATGAAAACAGGGCCCGACCTTTCAGACTTCAAGGGTACTGACATACTAGTATTTGAATCACGAACACTACTTGATTCAGATTTAGAAGCAACAGGAAACGGATTGATACAAGTGGAAGAAGATAACATGGAACTCACTACAGGGCGATCTGACAATTTCTTAGCGGTGTTATCTATATCTTGAGAGCCTTTGCAGCTTGATGGGGAATGTCTAACCTTTAAAGATTCTGCCTTGATAGCTGTTAGCAAAGTAGATTCACTAGTTTTGCAAATCCCCAAAGTAGGAGGAAGATTACCATCGGCTACATTTTCATTTACTTGAGCTACTTGTGCTTTGGACTGAGAAGTACCTCCAGATAAGCTGAATGAAAAACGCAGTAACGAATGGTTTCCTGAATCGTTTCTGCTGTTGGCACCATTAATACTAGATGGGACAGAGTCTTCATGAAAATCACATTTCGCCCCAGTAGAATTTCCATTAGTACATTGAAAATTGGAAGAAGCAGCTTCACAGCTCCCACTTATACCTCTAACTTTAGCAGCCCTTGAAGGGGTATCATAATCTGTTCCAATCCCAGTGACTACGGGCTGACTTTCAGTTTGGTTTACAAAGTGAGCATAGTTAGGAGATAATGGCTTGTTTGGGCCAACAATTGATACTCTGGATGTAGAATTATCCTTGTCAAAGGAATTTTGAGCAGACGAATATCCTTCAGATCGTGGGGAACTGGACACGCTCTCATTCTCACTCACAAACACATCATCAGATGATTCAGTGTTTGATGTAGAAGAGTGGAATTCATATAAATTAGTATCTGGCAGTTCTGAAGTTGAATTTCCGGCCTCATCTGCGTGCAACTTCACACTAACATCCTTTTGACTTGGACTATGACTAGAGTAACCAGAGTCTGGAGATGTAAGTTTATCATACAAGATCTTATCTGGTTCTACATGTTGCCCATTGTCAGTATCAAACTTTTTGCCACAGCTTCCAGAGTGGGATTGGACTCCTAACTTGTCCTCGGAATCCTTTTCCTTCTCCGAAGACCAATCTGACGTTTTGGGTGGGCGGCATTCGTCTTTATGACCTTGACGCCAGTGAATAATTTGACAATGACCAGAACTGAAGGTCAAAACGGCAACATAAAAGGAATCATTGAAGGAAGTATCAGCATGAATGGAATAATCTTTATCAAACATGTTAGTGCAATTATCTAGCAAAATACAAAACACAAAAGCTAACATTCAGTAAGCATGCTTGAGACTATTGGATCGTGCGTACACATTTACAGCCTGCAATGTGAATGAGGAATAAGAATTATCCAGATTAGAGATACTGGATCCAAAAATGTGCATACATGCACTATCAGAAAGCTCTGGTTTTGATCATATTATCCTAAAAAGACCAAGCATGCTGTTTTATGCTTAATAATATGGAAGTAATGAGAAATATCGATTTTCCAATCCATCCAAGAGAAGTAAGAAGAATCGAATTCGTCCTCCCTGTAATGAGAGTACATGTCATTACCTCTTCTAACCAATTGACAATTCTTCATTACAGGAGATACTCCACAATCCCATCAACAAACATACATCCGGGGAAGGTTCAAGCATTGTCAAAAAAGTACAAAGGGGTTTTCTCAACTCTCAATAAATGTTCAAGTTAAGTATCGTCAGTGAACTTCACAATTCCCTGGGTCCAGTCAAGTATAAAAAGGGATTCGAGTTTGCTCGAACACGCCTCCTCTAACCCCTAAGCTAACACCTAGATGGGATTTCAGATATCGAATGCGTTCTTAGACCTTTTACCCTTATTCAGATTTTTCTAGCGGTTGGTAACTTTCTATTAGATGAACACGATTCTCCACAATGGTATGATATTGTCCACTTTGAGCATAAGCTCTCGTGGCTTTGCTTTGGGCTTCCCCAAAATGCCTCATACCAATGGAGATAGTATTCCTTGATTATAAACCCATGATTATTCCCTAAACTAGCCGACGTGGGACTTTCATCCAACACTTTCAACTGATACATTATTACAAAAGAGCAGATAAATTAGTTGCTAACTTGAAGAACATTAAATCTCAGCCTTTTTGGTGACTGTTATAGTCTGATTATGCCATAACTATGCCATGGACTCCAATCTCCTTGTCCCAAAAGTGATAGAATTTGAAAGTGTTATGCAGTTAAGACTGTCTTTACTTGGAAGAAAGGAATGGAATAACAGATTTAGTAGTCAGAAGATGTAGACACAAGGATCAAAAACACAATTCCCCGGATTTCCCATAAAATCCCAAATCAAGAAAAGGGGAAAAAGATCAAACCGAAAAAAAAAAAAAAGGAAAAGGAAAAGAACCTCCCAACAATAAAAAAACAAAAGTGGAAAACAATCACACGACATTAAACGCCATTTACAAAGCCGAAACATCAAATCATTAACTTCAAAAAAGCATCCCACAAAGAATCTAAGATCGGAGTACCAGTATCGAACTGCTTTACAACGAGCGCAGCGGGTAGTCGTGGGACTGAAACAAAGAGCACAGTGAAGATTCAGAGAAACCGGCGCAGGAATGTACCCAAACGAAGCCTCATGTTCAATCTTAGCAGCTTCCTCCGACGCCAAGACCAATAGCCAGTTGATCTCTTCCTTCCTCGCCATACCAAGCCGCCATTTGTGACGAATAACAAGAATAATAACAGGAATAACCAAACACGCCGCAAGAACAAGGCTCTGAAACCCTAAATCCCAAGCGACAAGCATTTATCCTGAGGAATCAAAATGCACCCACCAGAATTCACCAGAATCACCAGAACCACTAGAACCTAAGCTTCTAAGTATGTAACAACACATAGATTCCTCGATTAGCTTGCAGATTAGGGCAAGGATGCCAATGGTAACGCCGAGTGATTTGGTCATGCGAACAGAACAAAAATCCTTGAAACAAGAAATTGCCAAAAAAAGAAATGGCTGAAAAGAGGGGAAAATGAACAAGAGAAGAATGTCGCGTAGTTGGAGCAAAATCAAAGGTGGAGTGAGCTTATGAAACAGCTCGAGCTCGTGGATTGGACAGAAAAACAATGCTTATTGTTGCAGAGCTCAGATCAATGGAGCTTTTTTCTCTCTTTGTCTCTTTCTTGGGGAAAGAGAAAGGTCAGAAACCAGAGCGAGGGAGATGAAAACCAATGAATGAGAGAAAAACAAAATATATTAAATAATTATTTTATTTAATAATATTCGAGTTTGTGGATTACGTTATGGGAAAAAGTAAAATTAAAACAATAAAAATTGAGGAATATATAAATGTAAATTTAATGTTTTTAATTTTTTTAAATGAAAAAAATAATTTAAAAGAGAGAAAATTCTCAAATAAGAAAATTGGCGGTCGGGGGTAAGGTATTTGTATTTTTCTCCGGTTTAGTGGCGTTGGAAACCGCGAATTCCTTGCCTCCGAATATATGGGTGGGCCCATCTCAAAAGCGGTCCACTGTAATGCCCCATCCGGTTCGGTTTGTTGCCCATGATACTAACCGGTTATCTTCTTTTCATTTCGTACGGTTCAGCGATTGGTTTTTATTTATTTATTTGAATTCAATTTTTAGAAAATTGAAAAAAAAAATCCGTTCGGTTTGTGGATTTATATATATTTTTTATTGGTCAGAACTCAAAAATTGGATTACAACCAAATTCTGCTTTTAAAAATATTAATAATAATTAACGTCGGTAACCCTATATTAATAATACGTCCTGACTTGTAAAAGTTTAATATTTAAGTTATATAGTTTTTATTTATTTATTAATGTAACTTGTACGGTGGATAAATATATTTTTTTAAATAATTTTTAAAAAATAACAACCCGACAACAAAAATAGAGAGTTGAGTTATATTGAATCACGAAACCCTAAACCCTAAGCCTACTAAATTACTAAAATTTATAAATAAATGCGTAAAACAATATTTAAATTCGCCTATTATACGATTAAAGAATCTGTCGAACATTAAAAATTTTATATATATAATTATAATTTATAATTGATAAATACATTGAGAAGTCTTTCTTGTCCCCTCTTTCAATCCTTGTCAACGCATACTATTTATTTATTTCCACGAGATCAGGTTTTGTATCGAAATTTTTATTATATTCTTTTATATATTAAAAAAAACAATAATTTTAAAGTATTTTTAATAGATAATTTTTTTAATGTTGCATTTAACTATAATTTTCGTCGGTTAAGTAGATGTCTTAAAGAACATTTGGTCCACCTGCACCGAACCAATTAAAAACATCTCAAATAAATATGCTCTCGACCAATAAACGTAAATTGATTCAAAATAGCACAAGTACGGTTTAATTAGTAGCCATTCCCATGTATGGAAAGACCTATAAAGCTAAAGAGGGACCATTTTCTATTTGTAGCTCTTGACCGTATCCAAAAGCTATTTCTATTATTAATCTAATTGTTAACGTCAATATTTTTTTAATTATTATTCTCTTAGTTTTAAAATGTTTTTGTCAACATATTTGGTTAACCTATTATTTTCTCGAGTCACGTTGTCTCGTATTTTTTTTTATTATAAATTTTAAATTAAAATATTACCGTGAATTATTTATTTATGTTGTTTTAGTCTTGGACTGTGTCACGCTTATGTGTCTTGCACATGTTCCATGCAGCATGCTTCAATACATACAACGTAGGTCCCTTGACAACACGTGTTTATACTAATAAAAATATATTTTAAAATTTTATTTGTTATCGTTATTTAAGTTTAATACGATTTTTTTGCTTTTAATTTTATTTTGTATTTATTTATTTATTTTCTTTTCATTTTCATATTATAATTTTCGCTTATTTTGGAGAAATATTTGAATTTAAGCATGAAAAATAAAAAATTTATATTAAATTATTAGTATTTTAAAATGGCACGAATCAAATCGTAGGGACGGCTGCACACGTCACGTGCGGCCCAAAATAATAATAATTAATAAATAAAACCTCAAACAATCAAATGTCGGTGACGTCATTTTTCTTTCACACTTTTCGCGTTTTTTAAGTATATGTTAGTTTGGGGTAAATTAATAAAAAAATGTTCATAAAATTTATATTTTATTAATAAATTAAAAAAATTAAAAAATATATATTTAAATAAAAATTATTAGTATTTTTTTTTAAATAGGTATTTTTATTAATTTATTGAATTTTTAAAAAATATATATAAATAGTTTTTCGAGAGGAAATTATAACAAATTTTAAAAATGGAAGAACGTATAACAAATATGACAAACTTTCTCCAAGGATATGTACGGAATTTTGGGCCATGTGATTGGAGTTAGGCCCACTATATTTTGTTGGGCCGAAGCCCAATAACGCTTACGTGGCGTGTAAGTCTGTAAACGGCCATTGGCGCGCTAAAGGGTCGTCACGTTGTGCTCGAGAACCTTCCCGCGGCTGCAACTGGAAGTCAGCGACCGTAAACGCTAAAGAGGTTGAGAATCACACCGGTAAATCGTCAGCGGAATTGTGAACCATGTCTGCCGATCTTCGATGCGTGATCGTGGCCGTTGACGGCAGCGAGGAGAGCATGGGCGCTTTACGGTGGGCGTTTGAAAATCTCAAGCTCCGTTCATCGGCGCCGGACTCCAATGACGGTACTTTTATTGTGCTGCATGTTCAACCTCCTCCTACAATCGCCGCCGGTCTCAGTCCTGGTCCAATCCCCTTTGGTGGCCCTAGTTGAGTCCTATACTATTTTCTCACGCTCATTTCTGAGCTGTTGTTGGGAGTTATCTAAGTTTAATGTTTTAATTTGATGTAGGCGATCTGGAGGTTCCTGCTTTCACGGCAGCGATTGAGTCGCATCAGAGGCGGATTACAGCTGCGATATTGGATCATGCTTCACGGATTTGCTCCGAGTACAAAGTTAGGCTCCACTATTTGGAACCTTTCGCCTAAATTCATTTTCATTGTGCTCTTTTAACTCGGTTATTCTTGCTAATTGCGACTCTGCGAGTTAGCATAGATATTTTACTTCGGATTGCAAACTTCTTAATAGAATTTAACTGGTCAAATTAGTTATTAGTGGATTTGAATCGTTTAGCCCCCTTTAACCATTTGGTTTTTGGTTTTTGAAACTCAAGCATATAAATACTACTTCCATCTGCAAATGTTTGTTGTCAAACGGGCTTAATTTTCAGAAAATATTATGAATTGTTAGTGTGTGGTGGTGTACGGTATGCCGTCAATTTAGAGTCAAGGAGAACAATCTCAGTGAAATCTTCAGATCTCTTTCACTTTGTGTCGTTTCTTTTATTCTTTTATCCCGAAACTAATGAAATTACGCAATAATTTGCTTCAACAATTTTTATATATGGTGTATTCTTGCTTGTCGAGTGCTTTTAGTTTCCTTAATGTATCTGTGGGTATCAATTTCAAGTCAGCGAGGCATTTTCTCCAGTTGAACTAATGGTTGCAGCAAACTCATTATGCAATTTTTAGGTGAACGTGGAAACTAAAGTGGTAATCGGAGATCCAAAGGAAAAGATCTGTGAAGCGGCTGAGAATTTGCATGCTGATTTGCTAGTTATGGGGTCCCGTGCTTTTGGCCCCATCAAAAGGTATGGTTACATAATAGTCTTAGCTAATGTCGATCGCTATTTTTCTGCAAGCCACACTATGATCAAATAGTAGCTGTTGCTTCTTGGTATGAATAATGCTAGCATGTAGATTTTGTGATGTTAGAGACTGTACTGTATTGCTAACTATTAAAATCTGATGCGTCAAATAATTCATCAAATCATCTGCTTGCCTATTCCAAGTATTCCAGTCTTGTCTCCAAATTAAAAGTAAAGCTAGAGTGACTTTGTTGCATATTCCAAGTATTCCAGTCCTTATCAAATCAACGGAGACTAGCTTAAAGCTCAAATCTCCCTTGATCGATGTTATTTGGAAATTCAATGTTCCAAACAAGATTAAAGTTCTTTTGTGAAGCCTTTCCTATAAAAATTTGAATACTCGTGAAAGGCTACAACGTAAGCTCACGACTATGTCTCGTTCCCCTTTGGTGTGTGCCTTATGCCTGAAAGATGAATAATCCATGGAACACCTTTTCCTTAACTGCTATCCTGCTTCGAGAGGGTGGAATCAGATCCTTAAAGCTTTTGGTTTTTCTGTTTAACGGCCTGAGATGATTAAGGATTGGCTTATTGAAGCTTTAAATGGTTGGATCTTTAAAGGCAGGAGTAAAATCTTATGGAGGTGTGCTACCCGGATGCTTGTTTGGGAGTTACGGAAGAAGAGAAATAAAAGGATTCTTTAAAGAAAAGTCTATTACTTTTGATTCTTTTTTCAGCAATATAGAAATTGCGTTCTCTCTATGGTGTCTTAGAAACATGAATTTTTTTTTGTATAATTGTAGCCCAACTCAACTACTCCACAATTGGGAAGCTGTGCTCCATTAGTCTTTTGTTTGTGAGGGGGTTCCTCGCCCCTGCCCTTATTCTGTTCCCTTTTGTTTTTCAACATACACTCATATATATAAGATATCAATGATCTGATAGGCAATAACCACCAAAAATAACAGATGCAGAGGAACACACAAGAACTCTCCCTCTTAGAGGAAACTCTAAGCCCAAAATTCCAACATGTTCCAATGCCATGCAAGGGCCTCCTACTGGACAAGATAAACGTGATGCTTCCTATGGCCATGGTTAATACGTATTTTAGAAAGCGCAAAGAAGGAATTCACCACCGACAGTTAGTTAGAAGTCAGAGAAGTATGGTTAGTGAGCTCATACGCTTATATGTTTGGGGGGATGCCGTAGAAGGTGGCTTTTATTTTGAAATAGGAGCAGTGTGAGGAGCAGTGTGAGGAGGGTGAGTAAAGCCCTTGTGACTGTTCTTCCTGCTCTTAATATCATGAATTATAAGGGAGATACCTTACAAGGTCACCTGTCCTATTACAAAATTGGGGACCGTAGTACCTACTCCATTAACAATTCCATCAACACTCGCCAACTACTGATCTTCTCCCTTCCCCACTTGCACTCCTAGTGTATGTGCAGCACACCAGCAGTCTCGCTTTGCTATCATGACCATCTTGTTTTATGTTTTATTACTTACCATTGTTTTGTTATCATATTCCGGACCACTATTGTCGATATAGTTCCTTGCATTTTGTTGGAAAATAACTTCGATCGACTGCTGAAGTGAATGGATTATTTACATGCCTTTGTGATCATACTGCTTCATGCAGGATGTTCTTGGGAAGTGTCAGCAACTACTGCACCAATCATGTAGAATGCCCAGTCATCATAGTCAAGGACAAGAAAAGGGGCAGTTCGGCTTGATCTTAATAGGTACACCCAACTCTTCATGCATTCGAGCCTAAAAGATTTCCGTACCACCGATTTTCTCTGTTTTTATGTCGTTGTAGATATCTCCTGGCACTTTTATGTTGATTGAGATTTGCTTATATACATAATTGAGTCACCATTGTTCTCATATCTTACCTTGAAAATGAAACGAAGCAAATGTTCACCACGATTCAATTTGTCCATTCTGTGAATACGTTATGTCTCCTTATTCAACTATATAAGTCCAGATTTAATACTCCTTTAGTTCCCCCCAACCCCCTGCTCAAATTTGATTCTTGTTTGCAGCAATGCTAATATAAATATAACTAATCATTATATATTTCACTTAGATTGCAGGTTTCTCTTTCGTTATGTGTGCCCGTTACCGTCTTATCAATGCTGATGCTCGTGACACGTATTATTCATCAATTGGTTTGCTTTTCTGCTTCCCGTTCTGCTATTTTGTATTGTGCGAGCCATCTTGTGCAGCCATAGGCAAGTTTCCAAAACAGTAAACAGGAAGTTCCTCTGTTTCTGTATTTCCTAGGCTTCGCGACATCACCTGTTGCCCCCATTGTTTACAGACAAATCCTTGTCCAGCTGACCATCTTCCATGGCTTGGCTACTGAAAATTGTCCTGTCCGAGTAAAATTGTGTATTATTCTTTCTATTTTGTCCCTGCATGTCAAAAAGCTGGGTTGAACCTTTTTTTCTGTTACAGCAGATATTTGTTGTGAAATTATTGTGCCTCGACTCTTGGACAGAAGGACTGTGAATGTGATTCCTTTTTGGGGAGACACGTGGCTCCTGTGTGGCATGTGACTTTTTCTTTCCCTTTCTCTGAATTATATGATTGTATGAAATAATAATTGAAAATTCACCGTCCTGTACTTTGGCTTGTTATCATATTTTGGTTGTAATGCTTTCATTTTATAATCATTGAGTCCTTATTTCTACTTTTTTTTTTTCTTTCAAAAGTTCAATATTATCTGTGAGCATTTAAAATAATTGTTAGAATATAAATATTTTAGAATATTGTAAAGCCCTAGATTCACCGCTAGCAGATATTGTTCTTTTTGAGCTTTTCCTTTCGGACTTTTTCTCAAAGCTTTAAAATGCGTTTGTTAGGGGAAGGTATTCACACCCTTATAAATGGTGGTTTGTTGGGGAGGAGAACAAACCACCGAGATAGCGTTTTAAAGCCTTGAGGGGAAATTCGAAAGGAAAAGTCCAAAGAGGATAATATCTGTTAGCGGTGTATCTGGGGCATTACAAATATTAAATAAAAATCAAGAATGAAATGGTGTGAAATTTTTCATTTTTGGTTGAAGTCGTCGTCACACTATTCTAATAAATTTTTACTCTAAGAATAATTTTTTACTCTAAGAATAATTTTGAAAGGGAAATAAAAGGTAATAGTAAATTTTAAATTTTAAAAAGTTTTTTAGATCGAGTTATTATTATATTATCTTAAGTTGTATCTATTTTGAATGGATAACTTTTAAACCGACGAACTTTTTTTCCCATAATTATCAATTTCGTCAATAATAAACTTTTGAAATTAACTTTTGAAACGATAATTATCCTATTTTATTTACAAAGATATATGATTGGGTCGAGATATAAACAGTGGAGCTCCCGTGATCCATGCAGCAGTGGAATAATTGTGGACCTCAGCGCCCTCCTCTGTCTTTGCGGCTGTCTTCTTCTACCTCTCTCTCCCGCTTCTCTCTCTCTGCATATTATTACTATATGTTCTTGGAATTAGCAAAATTATTTTATTATTCACAAATTTCAGATTACTATTTTAAACCCATTATTTTTAATTTTAATTTCGTTAATTTATTATCTTTTTCCAATACTCTGAAAACCATAGCCAAACGACAAATTGATGGATCCCATGCTTATAATTTAAGAATTTAATAGGTGAAATTAAAAAAAAAAAAAAAAAAAAAAAACCTGATATTAAGGGAGGATATTTGAGTAATTTTGGGATATAATTGCTACATTACAAGCGACAATGGGCTCCATAGCTTTGTTTTACCCTTTTTAATTTTGTGTAGCTTGATGGAAACAGCTGGACTTATGGTGGGCCTGGCCCAATAACAAAACAATTTGTAAGCCCGTGACCGACCAGGTCCCGTGGGTCCCGTGCTTGCGTACGGACAAAAATATCCTCACTGTCCTCTTTGACTTTCTTTTACTCCAAAGTTCACGAGATCATATTCTTTTTCGGAAAAAAAAAAAAAAAAAACGACCATAAATTAATTCAGTTGTAATAATATTTATTGAGTAACAAACACCATCTCGAGATATTTTAATGCCCTATGTTTAAAGTACATGATATCATACAATTGTGGAGTTTTCGTACCATTATTGTTGTGTCAGGTGAATTATAAAATATAAATATGGTGTGAAATTAAATAAAAATTTAGTCCATAATTAATTTGTGCAGTCAACTTAATATTAAGCGAAAAAACAATAATTTAAATCAATAAATTTAGAGATAAATTAGAATTTTTTTTTATTTAGATTCTTTACCCACAGTGGCATTTTCGTGGTTTTGTGTGAACCAGAGGGTGTTTTTTAGTATTTAATTAGAGTGTCAGACAGATTCCTTTGGACCAATTTGGCCCTTTCTTGAGTTACAACAGTAAAACTCCCCGTTTTGTCCTTGGATTCCGTCTGAAAACGAACTTTTATTATTTACATTTTAGCACTTTTTAGGACACCTAAATTATTTAGAGGGGCCGCCACTTCGCCATAATTACCGTCTCTTTCCCACCGCAAAGTGCCCTTTTTTGATATTACCATTTATTAGGGGGTGGAAGATAAATATTCAATAATTCGTTTATTTTTAATTACCGATCTTTAATATTTAAGTAATTTTCTTTCATGATCCCAAAATATTATTCTAAATTATACCAAAAAAAAAAAAAAATGTTGTTTAAAATATAGTGAAAACAAAATTTTATTTGCTTAAAATATAATATGGGTAATAAATTTTATTTTTAAAATTTTAAAAATATACACAAATTTTTATTAAAAATTTTAAATATATATTTGAAATAAAAAAAATAATGGAAAATAGAGATATTTATATCTCAAACCTCACGTGCATGGACAAGCGCTACCATTACGTCAGCTAAATAATTATATGCCCATTTTCGTAATTTCGCAACACAATTTTGTTATAAATCTACCACATCCCCATGCAAAACTCCGGTAACCGGTAACCATCAAATTTTTCATTTCCACTTCTTCCACCGCCGTCTCTCTCAACTCCGGCCACCGAGTTGAGTCCGAGTCATGGCCGTCAAATTTGTCTTCTTCTTCTTTTTAGCCCTTCTGGCACTAAACTCCAACGCTTCCGATCTCTGCGCCGCCGGATCGGACGGCTCCGGTGATCTCTCCGTCATCCCCATTTACGGAAAATGCTCGCCGTTCACGGCGCCGAAGTCAGAATCTTGGGTGAACACGGTGATTGATATGGCTTCGAAGGATCCAGCCCGAATTAAGTACTTGTCGAGCCTCGCCGCACAGAAGACGGTGGCGGCGCCGATCGCCTCCGGGCAACATGCTCTCAATATTGGGAATTATGTGGTGAGAGTTCAATTGGGTACTCCGGGTCAAGCTATGTATATGGTTCTTGACACTAGTAGCGACGCCGCCTGGGCACCGTGCTCCGGCTGCTCCGGCTGCTCCGCCACCACTTTCTTGGCTAAAAATTCCTCCACTTTTGCCACTTTGGATTGCTCCAAACCGCAATGTAGCCAGGTTTGTAGAATCGCTACTCAAATGATTTAATTTACATTTATTATAATTATTATTTATCTTTTAAAAAAAAAAATCTGTCGTTTAATTTTCAAAATAGCAATTTTAGTGTTTAGAATTTATAAATTAATTAATTGAATCTCAATTTAAATAATTATTTAAAAAAACATAAAATTAGATATAATTACTTATTAATATTAACTCGAATTTAAATTATTTGGGTATATTTGATAAAATCACCCAAAATTTTCTATTTTTAATTATCAAATAAATTACAAATATTTAAATATTTATTTGTAATTGAGGACTAAATATCTGGAACATAATTAATTACTGTGAATTAAATTTATTTGTTAATTTTCTTTAGGCTCGGGGTCTTTCCTGTCCGACAACCGGTAGCGTCGATTGCTTATTCAACCAAACATACGGCGGCGACTCATCCTTTTCCGCCACCCTGGTTCAAGACACTCTCCACTTGGGATCCGACGTCATTCCAAATTTCTCATTCGGTTGCATCAGCTCCGCCTCCGGCAGCTCTATTCCGCCGCAAGGTCTATTGGGTCTCGGCCGTGGTCCCCTCTCACTCATCTCACAATCCACTTCACTCTACTCCGGTTTATTCTCGTACTGTCTCCCGAGTTTCAAATCCTACTACTTCTCCGGTTCACTAAAACTCGGCCCGGTCGGCCAACCTAAGTCAATCCGAACCACCCCACTCCTTAAGAACCCGCACAGACCGTCTCTCTACTACGTCAACCTAACAGGCATCAGTGTCGGTCGGGTTCTTGTCCCAATTCCACCAGAGACTCTCGCATTCGACCCGAACACTGGTGCGGGAACCATCATCGACTCGGGGACGGTAATAACCCGGTTCGTAGACCCGGTCTACACAGCGGTTCGAGACGAATTTAGAAAGCAAGTGGGCGGTTCGTTTTCGCCATTGGGAGCTTTCGACACGTGTTTTACAACAAGCAATGAAATGGCGGCGCCCGGCATTACGTTCCATTTGAGTGGATTGGACTTGAAATTGCCGATGGAGAACAGTTTGATTCACAGCAGCGCCGGTTCGTTGGCTTGTTTGGCGATGGCGGCGGCGCCCAACAATGTGAACTCCGTGTTGAATGTGATCGCCAATTTGCAGCAACAAAATCATCGGATTTTGTTTGATATTGCAAATTCTAAGCTGGGGATTGCTCGTGAGCTCTGTAATTAGCTCAATCACTAACAATGGAAGCTATGAATAATTTGGAAAATGTATCGTTTCTTTTAATTTAATGTCCAATCCAATGTACGGTTAAAGTGGGTTTTAAAGATAGTGGCTTTTAGTATCCATTTTAATGGGCCTGGCCCAATATCAGTTTGGGCCCAATGTCCACATTTGGATTAAAGTGGGTTTTAAAGATAGTGGCTTTTAGTATCTATTTTAATGGGCTTGACCCAATCTCATTTTGGGCCCAAGGTCCACATTTGGATTAAAGTGGTTTTTAAAGATAGTGGCTTTTAGTATCTATTTTAGTGGGCTTGGCCCAATGTCATTTTGGGCCCAATGTCCACATTTGGAGTAAAGTGGTTTTTAAGGATAGTGGCTTTTAGTATCTATTTTAGTGGGCTTGGCCCAATGTCATTTTGGGCCCAAGGTCCACATTTGGATTAAAGTGGTTTTTAAAGATAGGGGCTTTTAGTATCTATTTTAATGGGCTTGGCCCAATGTTATTTTGGGCCCAAGGTCCCCAATTGGATTTGTCTTCTCTTGTTGTTATAATTTTATTTAACAAAATTGGAGTATTAATTTTTTTTAAATGCATAAATAATTTTATTAAAATATATTATTGGGTTTGACTTATTAGATTAGTGATGATTCATCAAATGACATGCTTCCATGGTCAAAATGGACTTTGGGTCGGTGTACAAAAAACCAACCGTATGCAACTTTATTATCCATGTCTTATATGTCATTAGCGGGGCGTACTAGATAGCGGGTGCATATATTAACCTCCAACACGCGGGTTGGGGCGCAATATCGGCACACCTATGCCACCCAATACTATCGTTGAAAAACCCATTTCGAAGGAAGTTACTTAAGACACTTGACTTGACATACTTGCCCATGCTGTAACACACGTATGTGCCATAGGGCCCAAGGATGGTGTAGAACTAACACTATGCCTTCTCTATAGTATATTTTGAGCCAAGGTGTCATGGAGTGTTTGTCCAATGTTCGATTGACACCAAATTTTGTGAGTATACATATTTTCCATTTTGTCATGTGCCAAATCTCATTCTGAATAAGTGGAGCAGCCTTGAACCCATACCCTTGATTCCCACATTGAGCCTCATTCCCACATTGAGCCTCAGCTCGAAGGACCAAAGGTTGTTGTTTGGTCTGGATAAGCAAACATGGATAGGCTCCTCAAGCAAATACCATTCCAATGGAGATAGCTCACCTTTCGATGACGAGAGTATGATCCTTTTAACATATTATATATTAAAATATAATATTTAAAAAATATATTATAATAATTAGTTCTGTAATATTTATATACGTAATAATATTTCATTTTTTATTTTTAGGAGTTAGTTAGTAATATATTTTATCTTACTATTAATATTTATATTCGTAATAATATTTTATTTTTTATTTGTAAGTGTTAGTAATATATTTTATCTTATACTCACGATTTAATCAGTTGTATATTTGATTTATCTCATTTTCAAGATTTAGTTAGTGGTAATTTGATTAGTTGGTAACTTGTATTCTATTTAAACGTTCGAACATCTCACAGGCACTATTTTCAATCCCACTCCTATTTCTGGTGCTTAAGTCAAAGAAAGGGAGTCGCGGTCGCATTAGGGCATCTGTTTCTTCGTTAGACCCACCGCCGCCGCAGCCCTCTGTTCTTCAACGCTTTAGTCCTCACGCGTTAATGTAAGCTTCTGCGATCCCCACCTTCTTCCTCTTTCTATAAACCCATCTTCTTCCCTTCACCCATTACTGCGCCGTTCAATTTCACTGCCTAAATCTTCTCCGTTCTCCATACCCTTCTTTTCCTTTCTCAATCTCTGGTTCAATCGGAAATGGGTTTGAAGGGATTCGCCGAAGGAGGAATCGCCTCCATTGTTGCTGGATGCTCCACTCACCCTCTTGATCTCATTAAAGTTCGGATGCAATTGGACGGCGAGAAACCGGCGCTTCCAAATCTCCGCCCCGCCTTAGCTTTCAATGGGTCTTCTTCCGTTGTCGCGCCGGAATCTTTCCATATTCCTCCGCCTCAACCACCGCGTGCGGGACCCATATCGGTTGGAGTACGGATTGTCCAGTCCGAAGGTGTTGCTGCTCTGTTTTCTGGCGTCTCCGCCACCGTTCTCCGTCAGACTCTTTACTCCACCACTCGGATGGGTCTCTACGACGTTCTTAAAACTAAATGGTCCGACCCGAATTCTGGTAACATGTCTTTGACCCGGAAAATCACGGCGGGGCTTATTGCCGGTGGAATTGGCGCGGCGGTGGGGAACCCGGCGGATGTCGCAATGGTGAGAATGCAGGCCGATGGCAGGCTTCCGTTGAGTCAGCGGCGGAATTACGCCGGCGTGGTGGACGCCATCACAAGAATGTCAAAGCAGGAAGGGATTAGTAGCCTGTGGCGCGGGTCGTCGCTTACGGTGAACCGAGCTATGATCGTGACGGCGGCGCAGTTAGCATCGTACGATGAAATCAAAGAGACGATATTGGAAAAGGGTGTGATGAAGGACGGATTGGGGACCCACGTGACGGCGAGTTTCGCGGCGGGATTCGTGGCGGCGGTGGCGTCGAATCCGGTGGATGTGATAAAGACGAGAGTTATGAATATGAAAGTGGAGGGTGGGGCGGCTCCGCCGTACAAGGGGGCGTTGGACTGTGCGATGAAGACGGTGAAGGCGGAAGGGGCAATGGCGCTTTACAAAGGATTTATTCCGACGATTTCACGGCAGGGACCTTTCACCGTGGTCTTGTTTGTCACACTCGAACAAGTTAGGAAGATTTTCAACCAGTTTTGATTTGACGGGTGACGATGACCCGATTTCTGGGAATGTTCCCATAATTCTTTTCCATTCAGTTTCTGAAATTCTTTGCGTTAAAGGAATTAAAAATAAGAGAACAATAATTTATGACCTTAATTAGTCATTATCTATTGAAACATTTAGTCATTATCTATTGAAACATTGTAGTCGAACTCTATTATGGATTTCTGACCACATTTTCTATAGGGCATTCTTATCTCTTCCTTCTCCGAGCTTGGGTTATGGAAGAAGGAACCGAGAAGAAAGGATAAGCAACTTATTACGAGACACCTCATGATATTCATATCGATCTATTATGTGCCTCTGTATCTAGCTTTGAGTAGATCTCATACAATAACTATCCTCGCTCTACCGTACTTTTTGTTTCATTTCTTCTGAAACAATCATTCATCCAATAGAGATAAGAGGAGGAAGACCTAAATTATCGTTCACCCAAAATTTATAAACATCCAAAAATAAATGAAACTCCACAAAAAATTTATAACCATAAAAAAGAATAAATGAGACGAGTTAAACCAAAAATATCATATCCAGTAAATGAATGAATTAATTAGGATCAAATGGGGTTTGTTCTTCTATCTTGAAATCTTTGTTTGGGCATAGTTCAAACAGTAAACTTAGAATCAATTTAAAATGGAATTTCACCAATGCTGAAAGCATAGCAACAATCCTTCCTATACAAGCTTTGGGCTATTCACTGAGAGAAAAAGAATCAGAAACCAACAAAAAGGCAAATAATTCAGCAGCTTTGATCAAGAAACTGGTTTCATCTGTACATCCATCGTGCCATTTTCATTCAGAGTGAAGGATTCTTCACTTTCACTGTTTGCAACCTCAGAATGAATATCATCATTCATCCCCTCCATGTTCAGAAGGCCATGATTAACAACTCGCTGCTCCGAAGATATCTATCTTAAAACACTCATGAAGTTGCCAAAGCTTTGCTGCTATTGTCCTCAAGGGCCAGATGATTCTCTGATCTTTTCCTCTATCCATAATACTTACTGCTGCTCTGGCTTTGGCCTTCTGTTCTTGTTCCTTTATTGTGTGCATCTCAGTTTCGGGGCTGGCTGCTGCTGCTGCTATCAGTTCCTGCTCTCTTATCCGAGTCCTGACTAGACGACCCTTGAGTGACATCAGAATTTTGGACTGAGCGCTTTGCTTCAGCTCCTCTGCCCTTATCCGTATTCTCTAATGATTGACCTGAAACTCGCCCCCGGTCCATATTCTGGAGTTCATTAGCTATCTGGCTGCGACGCTCCTTCAAGAAATTGAGTCTGGTAGTCAGCTTCGTCAGTGCTGAAGAGGTGAGATTTGAACCCTGCAATAAACATAGATGAGGCATTAGAATAGCTACATCTGGTCATTACATGGAATAAATGATGCGATGAGGAATTTCCAACATGTCAACATTTTCTTCAATATGTTTATGGTTTCGACATCGATAATGAAGGGTGAATCAATATTTTTATTATAAAATATCAAACCGACAAAATATAACAAAAATATCAACGCTCCAAACATTTCAATCGCATTTAAATCCTTAATTATGACATACAAAATTTCCAGACATCCATCCAGTAGTTCGGCATCATTGCTGCTATCCAATAATCCAGCAAACATATATGAAACATGCAACTCACACAAATGAGACTGTTACCATTTTTTTTACAAAGCACAATCGACTTACATAATGTGAGCAAAACAATCTTTATTTTGCACAACCACGTACATGGAACTACATTTCAACGTGACGATTCAAAGCTCTAAGTGATATGGTAATAATAGCAACATAAGAAGCATTGAAACTGGGGCAACAGTAGACTTCACAACAACCTACCTCAACCCTTGCAGCAGCCCTCTTCAGATTCGTTAGAGCCGTTGACCTTGGTGCTAATGCCTCCATGGTCGGAAACCCAACTGATCTGACAATGGCATGATGATCTGGATGCTGGTTGTGAGGGGAGTGTTTACTTGTGGAAGATGATGATTCCGTCTTCTTTTCGTTGCCATTTTCTGCTTGACCTGAAAGGATATCCTGCAAAAACACAACAGTGGACTTAAATGAACATCAGTTTATTGACAAGCTAGATGGCAAAACGCAAATCGAGAATTGGGCTGAGCATCCCGCAATGCTCCCCGAGGCCCAAAGCAATAACTAAAATGCATTGCTATGATTCATGACTTCAGCATGATCAAAATAGTTATTATAATGCATTCCCTCGATTCATGGCTTCAACGGGATCATAGAAATCTAGTGAAGAAACAAGGTTTGATTAAAAAACGGAAATATAGCTATTGCATAATTGAATTCAGATGAGGTGCCTCACAACCAAATTTGAGGCAGGAGATGTGCTTTGAGAATAACAGCATTATAGCAGTGGTCATCGATATCAGTAAAGAATTATAATGAGGAAAGTAGGGATTGAGTATCTCTTTATCAGGTAAGTTCAATCTTGATCCAAGGACTACGCCAGAGTAAACTGACTCATTAATAGAAAATAACTCTACAATTGATAAGAATGATCTAGGAGTAAACGTCAGCTTCAGTGGAAGAAAAGAAATTAGTCCTAAACTCTGAAAATATTAATTAAATTTTAGTCGGAAGTGCCTTAGACATGCCAAAATATAAAAGATTACCAAATACAATGTGATTTACCTTATTTCTGTAGTGTTCAGGATGTAAAAGGGCTAAAGCTCCAGCATCCTTCTTCTTGTCCTTCCTGTACCCATTGAATTGTTAATCTCACATGAATAATTACTATCCACATAAGAAAAGGATGAAAAAGTTATGACCATTAACATGTGAAAAAAAAATTATTATGATATGATTATGCTAAAACATGAAATTTCAGAAAAGAGAAACCTACGATTTTGTTTGATGATTCTGTGAGGCATTACGTGAATCAGAAGAAGGACGTAGCCTATCGAGCTGTCCTTCAAAGTCAGCCACCATGTTGTTTAAATTGGCAATGTCTTTCTCTGCTTGATCTATTTCTTCAAGATCTGCCTTTGTCTAGACAAATAGCTAACACATTATAGCATCGGCAATCTGTCACATAATCCTACTAAAATAAATAAAAAGCATTAGACAAACTGACCTTTTCACTAATATTAGGTAAACTCGGCAAGGGGCCTTGAGAAATTTTAAGTCCTACTTCAAGAGCCATCCTTAGATCTCTCTCCTTTTGCAACTGGCCCTTTAGTCTTGCCACCTGAACATTCAATCCATAGTCATGACTAAGTCTTTATCTCCCTAGTTGACTTTGCAACTTTAATAATCACTTAAGGGTACCATAAACATGCTAAACCTTTTAATATAACAGTGGGTGTCCAAGCTGTCCACTTTGAATAATCCACAGAACTAAAATTTGATCTTATAACACTTAAAGTACTAAGAAGCTCCATATTAATTATCTCGGATATACTACCATGCCTTGAACTATAACCTAGTAGGTACCCAAACTAACAACTTGATTCTTCTACCGCTGAGTCAACCTATGGTAGTCAGTGGTAGTCCGTAGAAACAAATGCAAGAAAAATTATTATCTTAGATAGGTTACTATCATAACTTGAACTATACCCTAAAAGGCATCCAAACCAACAACTTGCTTTCTGAACTATTGGGTCATCGTTTGCACAAACAACAGAAAAAATTACATTAAGGTAAATAAATTGCATTATTGCAAACCAAAAAACAAAAACGTAAGGTAGAACATTTTGAAAGAATCACAAGGGTTCCCATTTTCAGTTCCATTGACTTAGACGCATCAATCACATTATGGAGAATGAAGAACATGAAACTAAGAGCAGCGGGACTAATGGCCCATGAAGAGTTTACTTCTTGCTCAAGAGTTATACGACGCTCATGCAAATACTTCTTTTGGTTTTCCAGACTGGATTGCAAAGTAAAATTTTCTTTGGCCTGAAACAAGAAAGAATTAATGTGAAGATTAAAGAACCAGAAATGAAATACGTAGAAAAAAAGGCACTGAGAATCTTAACCTCCTCCAAAATTTTATTTTGCAGTTCATATTTAGTGGCTTCAAGTTTCTGGATTTCAACCCTGAAATAAGAACAAAAAGTTGTCAAAGAAAATTTACAAGACGCGGGATGATGAAAAAAAGAAGTGCAAAAATAATCATTTACCAAGAAGTTCAAGGTCACGACAACTGATACTGTAATTATTTGAAGAGATTAATATAATGTGTCATGATGTAATTGACGACTTAGCAAATATACAAACAAAGGAAAAATCTCATGAATATAAACACTCGATCCAATCGATGCCACCTGCCCCACAGCATTTTCAATTCATATTTTTGGACTTGAAAAGTTCAGTGTAACGAAGTCATTAGAGTTACAAGGATCTGTAAACCAAGAAATGACATAATCAGGAAGTTTCAAGCCCAGTCCTTAAATGGAAGACTATTCAAGCATAAATGAACTCAGGTGAGTTTTTTATGAAAAAAATTTACAAGAAAATGTAAGCTCCAATCCACATTCCTCAATTTGGTTTTTGAGACTTGATAATAAAATTAAAGCTGTTTAAAAGACCAAACCATATAGTCTTGATTGTGGAACAACCATTCCCCTCTAGGTAAATACGAAAATATTAATTCGAAAATATTAATTTATTTTAACCTCCATATAAAGAAACAGAAAGAAAAGCCACTTACTCTTCGTCAAAATCAAGATCCATGGATTCCATGGAGAGGTTCTTCTTTGCCTGCGCTTGTATAGAAAACAAAAGCTAGTTAAACTAGCTGCAGGAACATGGGAAAAAAAAAGCTAGCTTGGAAAATCCATATGAATCTCTAACAACAGTCAAAACTATCATGATGGTGCACTTCAGGAAGATGTTGAGGGTTAAGTGAAATGGAATGCAGAACGCTGGCCCGAAATGGGGGAGAAAAAAGAGTGATATTGTCAATGAAATGTTTTACTCACAGGCGTGCGTCCCCAAACGGTGAGACGCCTTGACGTGTGGGAACTTTTACTTGGAGAACCATCAAAGCTTGAAGATGAACAAGGATCCAACTTGTGCATCATATTTGCTTCTTCGGATTCATATTCTTCACAAGGCTTTTCATCCTTGATTGGTGGATTACCTCTACCTCGAACGGTCTTCTTGCTTCGAACTTGAGGCAATTTTTTTTTGGGGGAACTCGATTTTGGCTTCCTTCCATTTACCTTAGAAACGTCAGAATTCTTCGGACTACCACTTGATACTTCAGAACCCTGTAGCAAAGTAAGAGTAAGTATTGACATCTTTTCCGGCTGGTACTTAATTAAACTTTATCAATGGACCCAGCAATTTGGAAGTTACAAAAATTATAAAATCGACGAACTCATTCCAAATCATTCTAAGAAAACAGAGACTTCATCAAGACACGCCAAATTTTATTTTGGGATTGAATTATTTTGCATCTAAACCAAGTTTTTTGATATGATGAGTCGAAGGAGCCTCTAGAGTGATTTTCGGAGATTGGATTTTAGAACCTATCCACCCCAACATCTCGGCGGAGTTTACTAGAATAAAAACAGAAGTACAATATTTGTATGTTCCTCATACGTTACCCCTAAACCCGTCGGACAGTACACTTCCTGTAAGCTTATTAAGAAGAAAGGGTTCGACTGACTTATATAAGAGGAGACAGTGGATCAAGCGAGGTTTTAAAGGGCATTTCTGACATGGGCAAGGGATGTTTTGACTGTATCAATAAAGGGGACCAGCAGCCATGAAGGAGGGGGATTGGTTTTTGGCTAGGTTTGAGGAAATAGCGAATGAAAATATCATAGTAGTCTGGGGCTCTTGAATTTTCTCCTTATTGAGTCCTATTTATAACAAAGAAATTAATAATTTCATATTTGATTATCCAGCATGGAACCTCCATCACTACCACCTCACTGATAAAGAGGAAAATAAACGTTTGAATGAAACAAAAGCTTGTCATGCGATATGGTCAAATAAACAGTATAAGAGGGTTAAGGGGAAATTACAATTTTGTCAGATTGTTATAGGATGATGGTGATACTACCATTTTATCAGATTACTACGTAACTCAATTGAGAAAATATAGAGACGTGCCTTATCACCAGATAAATCGTGCTCCTCAGAGTAAACACTCCCACTGCATGTTCCAGTTGATTCAACTCCATCGTCTGTTTCTGCATCAGAACCAGTGACATCATCTTGTTCTTCATCATCGTAAGACATATCATCATCACTTGCCTCCTCACTCTCACTTCCACTCTCTTCTGAATCCGAATACATTATAGGCGACAGAGAACCTTCCTGCAATCACACTAGTAACTTATGGATCTCAAATTACAAGCTAATTAATCTTCCAAGTATCTTGAACTATGACAACTAAATACATAAAATTAGACTCCTTGGATAAATCATTTCTAATAATATGCCTAATTCTGAAACATTCTTTTTGTCCCTTTTGAAGTAACCATAAAGATCATTAGTATGGTAAATAAAACTCAGGCCAAGAGATACATACTTGCGCATTAACCTCCTCATAACAGTTAAAAATCTGGTAAAAAGTAGACTAAAAGAAAATCTTTTCTAGCTTTCTCAGCATGTCTGCGTCATACTAGAAAATTTGAATATAAGAACCAATATAATAGTTACCCCAAAAATTATGTCATATTCCTCCAGTAAAGTAATAACTATGGCTTGAGCATGGTTTGCAGCGGCAGCTGCACGAAGAAGTTGAATAGAACCATCACCCCCCACGTCAAAATCAGTTTCAATCTCACAATCACCGGATAAAAGTGGACGAAGGAGTAAGGGGGCCATGCACGCTGCCACAGCTGAAGAGCTCATTCGATTCTCAGCTTTACGAGACGCTACAGTTTGCATCATCATAAGAATTCTGTCGCAGGAATAAAAGAAAAAAATTGTGAATTGAAAGATACACCTGAAAGATAAATCAGTACAAAAGGGTGGATGGAACAAATATATACTTCCACAAGTAGAATAACGACTAAATTTCACTATGGGATATAACCATTTGGACATGCAACAAGGGCAAGGTTAGAAGTATTTCGTTGATTGCCAAAAAAAATAATAGGAGCATGACACAAGAAAATCATGAAGGCCACAGCAACGTCTACACAATAAAATCTTAAATATTTCAAGGTCAATAGCAGTAGTAATCGAGGAACAAAACATCCCTCTATGAACTCTCGGAAAACTCAGAATTTGAGAGCAAATGGTCTTGGACCTCCTGCCCGTTGCAGCTTTTGACATCAGTATCTCCCTTGTCATAACCTACTCCTCAAAAGAGCATTCAACAATACAATGTCATAACCTCAATAGATCCTTTTTGTGGTCATGTACAGTATACGGCCTCCACTTTCGGTCGCCACCCACAAATCTTTTTGTAATATTCCCTTTCTTCTCATCAATCTAGATTGGAGGCTTCTTTTTAATACATCACCCCCTAGGCTAAGGGATTTCCCAAAGGCCGATGTCTCTTTTGACATTTTTTCTGTGAGAATATACCTCTGTTTCGTTAAAACATAAATAAATTAATGAAAAAAACATTATGTCTCTCAAGTGGTCAAACCTACAGAACTATTAAGTGGAGACTCCGGAGCACTGCCCGACCTCTCTATTACTCATCACCAGCGCGTATATCCAATGTTCAAGTTAATGTGTATTTGTACAAAGTAGCAAAAATATCAATGAAACCAGCATCACAATAAACCTTTGCTACCAAATACTCTATCAGAGAGAACACTCAAGATGAACATACGTCACAAACAATACGAACTTCTAAACGATGTAAAATAGTCAAGGCTTCAAATAAACTGTACTAGCTCTGGGCACTTGTTGATATATCTTATAAAATGGCACATGGACACTTGTTATTGGAAACATCATAAGATAGGTCTAACGTAAATTATAAATATATTCTATTGGCAATAGTAAAAATTGTTTATAGCATGCATCACCAAGGTTGATTTCTTCTCTATCAAGTTTTAAATATAAAATAGAAAACAATTGAAAAACAGACAAAGCAGGGGCTATAGCTACCTCTGCAGTAAACGGCGATTTGGTTCTGGAAAGGTTTCATATATTGCAGATCGCATAGCATTCACTCTGTTACCTCGATCAGTTTCTGGTATGAATACAAAAATAAGGGGAAAAAGTATACATTTTAAACAACTGCTTTTAAAAATTCAAAACAAAAAAGAGATGGTTAGGAAATACAGAAACCCCACTGTAAGGATTATAGAAAATAAAGAATGAAGTATCCAAACTTTAGAATTAATCTAGAGAGAGAGAGAGAGAGAGAGAGAGAGATTCCAAAGAAAACAAAGACAATAGCATTTAGACCTCCGATAACTAAAGTTTACATAAGAAAGGGAAGAACGGATACGGATGTAACTCCTAGTCAGTTTTGGGTTAGTCAATAACGGTTTTAAATGATAATTGTACGTGGGATATGCGAATAGATAGGGGCAAGAACAATTGGCTCAGTGTATTTATTTTGTGAGTTCTTATGCACTTTGGAGAGAAGTCGACCCTCTCGAATTGGCCAACAGTATAGAAGTTGTAATCTTCGTGTTTATCATGTCGTTGCTCTTTTTCCTACTCTATTGAAAGCGTCCTTACCCTCCTAGCTACTTTGTACAATCTGGCTTTGTAGTCAATTCAAATTGTGCTTCTCGTAGTGTGTGAGTACGTCTGTGCTTGTGCACATACCAGGGGTTTGATCCACACAAAGCAGCATGTTATAGAATATCAGGAAAACTTGGAAAAATATGATTGACATTGTTTACGACAAGTTATCTACTTCAAGAGTTCAACATCATCAAACTGCCCTTATTTCAGGCTTCAGTAAACTTGTCCACGGATGGTAACAGAATTTCATTTAGAAACAAAATCCGAACTTCCTTTATTGTTGCAAAGTAATCTTTTTTCCCCCTCGTATCAGACTCTAGACCTCCAGCTTCATTAACTTCATCTAAACTCTCAATTTTATGCAAACTCTAAATTTCACTGATGGAGGCTTTTTAGCTCTGCACAGTACCAAATCTTAGACTTGAGCTTCCCTTTAGGCCGACACAAAACGAGGGAAACTCAAAAAAGATAAATAAATGCAACCAACTTTTAATGCTTTTCACTTAAACATAAACACATGCCCACTGATGAGGATCAGAACTCTTCCAACAAGATCGCAGCGAAGGAATAAAATAATCATGATCATCCCTCCTATAGTAGAGTCTAGAGGAGGAAGGTTCCAAGCTGAAATGCTAAGCTTCAAGAAAACGTTAAAGATGGGATCCTTTCAAGCCCACGCACTTTCCGGCTAGCAAATTCGTCTAATCACACCTCAACCACTAGAATTCTACCGATGCAACAAAAAACCACCCCCTTTCAGAAGTTGGACCAAGGCCCAATGAAAATCTTGAAAAACCACAGCTTAGGTAAAAAATTTAGTAATTATGTTAGAAAAGAAAGTTTGCGGGAATCAATGCCCACCTAAGTTTCTTGAAGCAACTATTTTTATGTTTTAATTTGTGAATATATTTTTTAATCTCAATATATTAGATTGGACCAGAAAGGAAATGAAGTACACGACATATAGGCCTGTTAAAAAGGGTGTCATTTCCTCTACGCATGAAAACATTTAAGTACGAATTAAAAGCTAGAAAATGTCAGTGCATGACTCCATAGAGGATATAAAATTTGGCTTTCTAAACTGAGAATTCATGCACGCCCTAGTTTTAAAAAAGGTCAAGTTAAATACTTTTCACTTGCGTCTTTATTTCCTACGCTTTCATCATTTCTAGTCTATACGTCATGATTTTTCGTGTGAAAGAACGTATGTTTTCCACCTGGTAAATTAAATTATTTAAGATACTGAAATTAGCTTCTCCAATGACTTACTGCTTGCTTCTAGTAATGCGTTACAGCAAGATGCCGGAACTGGAGATGATGGTAACTCCCGGATGACATACTGAAATATAGCATAAAAGACATAAGATCGAAGAAAGCTTCCACAGCAGGCAACAACTATTTGTGAAAGATTTGCTATCATTAGTATTAAAATTTTGGTAACTTTTCAACCTTCACGCAGTCAGCCACTACATGTGCATCTTCTTCTGGAGAAAACTCGATCTTTCCTGCAGTATAAATAAAGAATGAATAAACAATATTTCTGATAAGGAGCTCGTTATCAGACTATTTTAATTCCTAATTTATAAGATTTAAATTATAAGAACCAATATGTTGACCCCGTTGACATGCATTTTAAAAGTCAAATTAAAAGGAACAAGAGATGGGGACAGTAACTAAAGCCAGTAAATAATTATAACTCTACAAACATGCATTACTAACGGAAAGAAACGACTCCAAAGGTCACAGTTTGCAACAACCACCAACTCATTTGTGCGTAGTCTGAAAACTGAAAGATACGTGTACCATGTACGATTCATCCCATCAATAGATGAGGAATTAAATTGCGAGTTTTGTTAGTCACTAGACTGAAACATAATTGCAACAGAACACTATCAACAATATAATGTATATAAATCTAGATTAGCATTATAATAATCAAATAACTGACCCTGTTCATAGTCCCGCACACGACGTTCAACATCATCAACATCTGCAGCTTGTCGCAAAATGCCTTCAACTTTGACTCCTATTATTAACTCAGATCCTTTAGATGAAAAATTAAATAATATAAGATTTTTTACAGAATGATAAATTCAAGATTAATCTACCGTGGTCCTCTATAAACCTAAGGGCTTTCTCCAGAAAGGAGGGAGTTCCATCAACATCTTCCAAAGCAAGCAAAACTGGCCTACCAAGGACTTTTGGTCTTCCGAGCTGTGATCCATCCTTCACTAGAAAAGACATATAGAGAGCATCAATAAATCAATGTGGCGAAAAATGAAGAACGCATGCAAGTTATTGAAGTTGAAACATATTACAAGCAGGCCCAATTAGGTGAAGATCCAGGTGCCAAACGAGAGTTGAAACAGAACTAACCAATCTATTTATCAATGTTCAGGTGAAGTTCCGAATAAAAAATTATGAGAGGGTAAACAGATCATGAATGCATCGCATAAATATCAAACATGAATAGAACAACGAAGTAATATATTTAAATCCATGAGAACAAAGCATCTGAGAAAATTTTCCTTACAAAATTTCTAACAAATTTAACTATTTAATTAGAAATAACAATTTTTTCATCACCAAGTTTCTCAAGTTTTGGCACTTTTTCCATTCATCGTCCAAACAAGACTGTGCAAGTTCACAGCTATACCCAAATAGAATGTATATATTCTTCACTAATACAAAAGGCAAAGTTTCTGACAAATGTAACCACGTGAAGGACATAATTTTGTAGATTCCAAAGTAAACTAAGCATCTGAAATATAGCTTAAACACACACTTCTCATATAAAGCATACAAGGTTAAGCTAACAGGGCAAATATAAAGAGAAATGCATAAACACTAGAACTAGAAGTACAATGAAATAAGTGGTATCTAAAGAAAACTAGATCAGAAAAGCATACACGTCTCTGAAGACCCATCATTTGATTCGATCTTATCATTCTTGAAGATACCATTAGCATGGACACTACTAGGTGCTTGAGACAAAGCAGTTTCCAGTGCGGCCTTCCATTCATAGAGATCCTCCAATGTTTCCGCCTGCAACAATAGATAACACACAGTGCAGTAGGCTGAGAGGTACATACTAGAGAAACAAAAACACCCTTCTTCAAGGTTATACTGGAATACAGACTACGCTCAGAGTTATTTTTTAGAACGATTACTGCAGAAAGAAAATATCTAAGAATGCAATTCAAGACTTAAACATCAGCATTTTTCATGTCATGCCACCAATCTCCTTAATGAACTTGAGAATTTTAAAAACTAATATTTGAGATAGATTAGATGAAAGAAGCTAGAAACTTTGTATAATTAGCATACACAAGTTTGTATGCCAAACCTACGAAAAGGAACAAAATGATAAAACAGACAGCCACAAAAGAAGAACCTAAACGCTTATAAAGGTCAAAATAAAAGTTTCACTTCAGCTAAAAAAATGTTAGAAGGAAAAAGAAGGCTGAGAGACAGAGAGAGAGAGCACCTTCAGTGTGAATGCCCGTCCTTCTCGACCATCAGGAAAGAGCACAGTCAAGAGTTTTTTTTCACTTTTCACAACAACACTTGAAAATGTACGGGAATACCACTAAATTAGTTTGCTGGGCTGCTTCCCTTGTAGAGATAAGGCAAATACCATCAAAATTCAGAAAACAAACTAACCTGCCTGAATTGTTGAGATCAATGCCACCGAGAGTCAAATTCACCTCCCCCCCTTTCTGAGGAGCAGCATTCTGAAAGGCGTAACAATCAACTAAAAATTCAAAACTTTTCAGAAGGAAATTAAACAGACAAATAATCAATCGTAACATGATGCATATCATGTACATGTACCTTGTGCATATATAATATAAAGTAAAAGTGATATTAAAATAGCTTTAGCTTGTATTAATGTGACGGACAAACTACCAACTCCAAGTGGCTCATCCTCCAACTAGAAACAAGGTCATGACAACAGCTTAAATCACCATAAATTAAATAACATTCAAAACCAGACTCATGCAAAAGATCACCAGATAATTCTACGCCTGAGGTAAAGGCAACTCTTCAAGCTCTTCAAGTTCAAAGGAAATAAGTTGAAACTCAATTATCCACCCTCTAAAGAACTATTTTTTAAGATAACTATAACAAGCTATTAGGAATCCAAGAGGAATTTAAATGCGGAAATAACAAAAATTGATGAAGATCACCGTACAGGTTACCCAGCCATTTGAGAGGGCTGCAGCTCTCCTCAATCTTGGTCGTTATCCAAAATGATAACAAACTATCCCTATGTATGACTCCCTGCCATATACTCTCAGTGCCAAGCTACTAACTGATGGCAATACAATAGCACAAGCATGATCATATATAAAATGGAAAAACCACTTACTGGATCACTTCGAAAGAAAACTAGTGAAGTACGTGTAAGAATAAACCATCTCTTTTTCCAGGAGGTCCATCCAATTCCTGATTTTTTTTTTTTTTTTG